TTGTATTTCAAGATATATTTTGAAATGTTATTTTTGATGATGAATATGATGCCATTCCTCCTCAATTTGTCATTCCTGAAATAATTAACCATATGATCGGCAGATTCAAATAACCAATACCAGTTCATTTGAGCTCAATAATGCCTAGAAAATCGATGTTTATGAGCCCCATTTCATTTTTGACAACTTCCAATTTTCCTAGATTCATACTCTGTACATTCCATGTTCCAGTTTTTAATGGATATTTACAGCTGTTTCTCATCATTTTGAGCTGTGCCCCATCATCACATCAAGGGCCTGAAAGCTTTACTCCATACATAGTATCACCGTTAACTCTACTTTGAGAAGACAGCTTTTCCCCAGTTGTGTTTTGAGTGCCTTCCAACCTGAGGGGCTTGTTTTCTGGCACTGTATCTGACAATATTCTGGTGCTCTTCATCATGTCCCAATAGTCAGTATTCTGGTGGTATTGGTGTTCCACTGCTATACACAAGTTTTTTTAGTGACTAAATATTCAGTGTTAATTTGTCTCTCCTTCTTCCCAGTGTGTCTTCCTAGTCTGGAAGCTCTGATAAAACCTGTCTACTGTGGGACATCTTGTTGGTATTTAAAATACTGGTGACATAGCTTCCAGTATCACAGAACATGCAACCCACCATAGTACAACAGACTGACAGATGAATGGTGGTGGATGGCTTTAACAAACAGAAATTAATTTTCTCACAGTTTAGAAGACTGGATTTCCTAATTCAGAATGCCTCTTTTAGGAAAGGTCCTTGTCTCCTTTCAGCAACTGTAGGAACAACATTTCTTGAAGATCTTCATGTGTCTTGCCATCAACCATTGCCTTGAGATAGGAGCTTTACAGTGCAGGGAACCCAGGAATTATTAAAATGTTAGTAATTTTATTACAAGTCAATATAATGCAAGGAGTACTGGTATGGTGCTATAAATAAGTACTGGACTGTTAACTGTAAGGTTGGTGGTTCAAACCAACAACTAATCCTTGAAAACCTTATGTTGTTGTTGTTAAGTGCCATCAAGTCTGATCCGACCCATTGTTGTTGTTGTTGTTGTTATGTGCGGTGGAGTCAGTTCTGACTCATAGCAACCCTGTATAGGGTTTCCAAGTAGCGGCTTGAACCACCGACCTTGCAGTTCAAATGGACCTTGCAGTCCAGCACATTAGCCCACAGTGCCATACCACGACTCCTGGAAACCTTATTCAGAGTTGCTATATAGGGTTCCAAGGCGTTGAAACCAACTTGGCAGCACTTAACAATGACAACATAGTACAAATCACTTACCAAACCAAAATAGAATTAGAGCAATATTTGGAATGGAAAACAATATAAGAATGAAAGTAGATAATCCATTTAAAATGGTAAATAAAATTTGCATGTCCAGAACGAATGATATAATCTTTATTTGATTTGAGACAAAAGTGGCTTCATGTTAGTCTCATTACAAATAACTTGATTCTCATAAACTTGAATATTTTCACACATATTAAATCATATAGAAGAAATAATTTTATGAAGCAGAATCATTTAGCAGTACCATATTTTAATAAAATACTCATCATAATGTTTCAAGCATATAGTTCAGTTTAGAAAAATAAGTTAGAAGCCATTGTATGTTCTTAGTAAGCGATAATATGTGGTGGCAAATGGCATGCTTAAAATTTTTTGTTAAATGAGTAAATGAAGGGATGATATCAGTAACTGATATTGACTGTTGAAATTGTTTGAACTACTGAATTTCCATGTGCTTCTAATGTGGTTAAAAACTGTAATGAGAACTGACTGTATTTCAAGTGAAGAAAGAGATGTCCTCATTGGACATTTCTGGAATATCTTTCAAATCAGCACTTTATTTAAGATTGTCTCTTTTCCAAACCCTTATTCTGAGAATAGTAGAGAAATTTGGAAAAATGAAACTTAAGAAAATTTTTTTTAATTGATTCAATAGATTAGTTATCTTCTGAACACTCATATTTACTGGGGCAAATCTCTGAATAGTTACTGTGCAAATTTGTGTGTATACTAGTCTACACTCAAATTCTAACTTCAAGGAGAATGTAGTTTAGATAAATGTAATGATATATCCTGAGATTGTATCAAGAATGAATATAAGAAACTCATATAAAGAAAGACAACATTATGTGATACAAAAGATTGATATTTACTAAAATGAAAGAACATGTCATAAGGATCATACAGAGGTCAGAGGTGTCAAAAAGAAATTGGCTGGATTCCCAGTTGCTCCCCCAGGGCAGGAGTACTAGGCTGGACCATCATGGAATAGAATCTGTGCTCAGCTGTAAGGTCCCAGCCCCAGAGATTGTCCAAGGAGACTGGCATACACACATACAAAGCATATTGGAGCTTCCTACTGAAAACTCAGTTGGAAAGTTAATTATTATTCAATCATGGACTCAGAGTAGAGTAAAATGGTTCGTATGGGGATATTCAACCACACATTGCAAATGCATTGACTTCCAATATAGTCTTTCTTTCCAGGGAACAAAGACCAGATCTAGCAATTCCCACTTTTTGACAGTAGTGGATAAATGCAGCAGGGTGGATGCAGATTGCTGTTGTTCAGTGCCGTCAAGTTAGTTCCAACTGAAAGCGACCTTGTAAAGGGCTTCTGAGGACTGGCTGGTGAGTTTGCACTGCCATCCTTGCAGTTCAAACCAACCTTGTAGTCCAGTGCAATAGCCTGAAGCACCACACCAGGACTCCGGTGGATGCAGACATATGCTATAAATGATAGCTATTATATTTTCAGAGGATGGAAAGATTGCATTTAGCCACATAGGTCAAGGAAAGCATTCTGAGAAAAGTAGTACTTAAATACTGTATAAGTATTGGACTGCTAACTTTAATGTCGGCGTTTCAAACTCATCAGCCACTCCTCAGAAACCTGATACAGAGCCAGAATTGACTTGACAGAACTAACAACACAAACACTGTACTGCTAACCATAAGGTCAAAACTTCAAATCCATCAACTGTTACAAAGGAGAAAAATGAGGCTTTCTGCTCCCATAAAGTTTTATAGCTTCGGAAACCCTATACAGGGTGGCTATGAGTTGGAATCGACTCAACAGTAGTGGATTTTTTTTTTTCTTTTTTTTCTTTTAGAGTTGCTTAGAGTCTGTAACTGTGAGTTGTGGGGAGAAAAACATTCTAGTTAGAGATGAGAGCATGAACAAAGAGCGTGAGTAGCTTAGTTTTGCTGGAACATAGAGTATATGAAAGAGGATAATGGAATATTGTGAAGGAGAGCGGAAGCTAGATCATGGATGGTCTTGAAAACCAGTTTTGAAGTCTGAGTGTTGTTCTTTACATAATGGGGAATCATACCAGAGGGGGGGAAAAAAACATGATTAGAACTGTACTCTTAGAAAATGAATCTGACTACAGTGGGTGAGTTGACTAGGAGGAGCAATCCTAGAAGCAGAGGCCACTGGGAAACCACCAAATCTACAGGAGAAGACTAAACTGAGAACAGTAATGGTATAATGTTTCACCTGCCCCCTCTTTTTCTTTATCTCTCTCTCTCATACACACACACACACACACACACACACACACACGCACACACATTCTAGTGTACAATACACCAAACAAAACCTTTCCCAATTTCTAGAAAACTCTCCATTTACAAAGGACAGAAGATTGAAAAATCACTGATCCATTTATCCAATTTGATTGAGTTTTAAATTTTTCTAAATACATTTTCAAAATCGACTGCAACCATACATTGACAGAGAACTTCCAGAGGTTCAAGCTGGTTTCAGAAGAGGAGGTGGAATGATGGATATCATTGCTGACATCAAATGGGTCTTGGCTGAAAGCAGAGAATACCAGAAAGATGTTTGCCTGTGCTTTATTGACTATGCAAAGGTTTTAAGTTGTGTGGATCATGACAAGCCATGGACAACATTGCAAAGTATGAGTATTCCTGAACACTTACTTGTGCTCATGAGGAACCTGTACATAGACCAAGAGGCAATTGTTCCCACAGAACAAGTGAACACTGAGTTGTTTAAAATTAGGGAATGTGTACACCAGGGTTGTATTCTTTCACCATACTTATTCAATCTGTATGCTGAGCAAATAATCTGAGAAACTGGATTATATGAAGAAAAATGTGGCACCAAGATTGGAGAAAGAATCATTAACAACCTGTAGTATACAGCTGATACATCCTTGCTTGCTAAAAGTGAAGAGGACTTGAAACACTTACTGATAAAGATTGAAGACCACAGTTTTTTATATGGGTTGTGTCTCAATGTAAAGAAAACAAAAATCCTCACCACTGAACCAATAAGCAACATCCATATACATGGAGAGCAAAAATGTTAGTTTGAGGACGAAGGTGCATGTGACCCAGACCATGGTATTTTCAATAACCTCATATGCTTGTGAAAGTTGGACAGTGAGTAAGGGAAGACTGTAGAAGAAATGATGCATTTGAGTTATGGTGTTGGAGGAGAATATTAAAAGTGCCATGAACTGCCAAAATAACAAACAGGTCTATATTGGAAAAAGTACAGCCAGAGTGCTTGCAGAAAGCCAGGATGGTCAGACTTCATCTTTTGTACTTTGGACATAATATAAGCAGGGATCAGTCCCTGGAGAAGGATACCATGTCTAGTAGAGTGGAGGGTCAGATAAAAAGAGGAAGACCCCAGTGAGATGTATTGACACAGTGGCAGCAGCAGTGGGGTCAGGCATAGCAACGACTGTGAGTTTGGCACAGGAACGGGCAGTGTTTCATTCTGTTATGCATAGGGTCGCTATGATTCAGTATCGACTCAATGGCACCTAACAACAACAATGCATATGTTTTCAAAGGATCAAGACAGTAGAATCTGTACCTAAAGGGTCAGTTTAAAGGGAAAGAAAAGATTGTCCAACATAAGTAAAATTTCTTGTATCAAATGTTTACTCTTAAAAACGTTCTAACATTAGTTAACTTAAAATGTAGGAATGCTGCAGAAATCAGAAGCAGGAACTTTGTGAGAAGTTTGACTACCTGTATGGTATCTTGGAGGAAAGGAAGAATGAGATGACACGAGTCATCACCCGGACTCAAGAGGAGAAACTGGAACATGTCCGAGCTATGATCAAAAAGTATGCTGATCATTTGGAGAATGTGTCAAAGTTGGTTGAGTCAGGAATTCAGTTCATGGATGAGCCAGAAATGGCAGTGTTTCTGCAGGTACGTTTCTTTTTGTCAGGTAAGCAAACTAAGAAGGTAGGTGCTGGAGACTTTCTTGTTATCCTGAATTGATGTGAAAGCATCACCTTACTGGGTGCTTTCCTTATGTCCATTTCATTTTGACCTATTTTACAAGGCAAAATATAAGCCCACCTTGTGTTTCTATCTTAATATGTTTTAAAGAATTTAACAAAGATATATTTAAAAGACCATAGCATTGCTTAAATATAAGAGGGTTCTGCTATAAAGCAGCAAGTGTTCATAGCATTTTGAAAGTAAGTTACGAGATTCTGAGAATCAGCAAAGGAAAGAATTAAGTCTCAATACTTCTTGGCTATAAAGAATTTAAGTAGGCCTATCTTTTGTTTGCTTCCACAGAATGCCAAAACCCTGTTACAAAAGTAAGTAATTTTTATTTTTGTGGGAAAATGTATGTTTTTCATTTTTACCCAAGGTTATCAAACTTCAAACAGTGACAGCAAGTAGAAACTTGTCTTTGTTGCAGAATTTCTGAAGCATCGAAGGCATTTCAGATGGAGAAAATAGAACATGGTTATGAAAATATGCACCACTTCACAGTCAACCTCAATAGAGAAGAAAAAATAATACGAGAAATTGATTTTTACAGAGGTTTGTCATTCTTTTGACCATTTAGCCAAAATTGCAGGTGTGTGAAAGCAGTAGAAGGGTTCAGTGGGAGGAAAGTAGGGACTCAGATTCACCTCCAGAATGAATGTTGACAACTTCACAAGGATTGTAATCCAAAGTGAAGCTCTGTCTCATTATGTAATCTTAAAGCTTGTTGACAGAGTTTATTTAGCTTTGCATTTCACAATGTTTATTATAATTCCATTTTGGGTCATTTGACTCTGGGTAATCAAATACTTAATAATTGATGGTAATGAAGATATCTCAACCTTAACGATACACAAAGTGTTAGTCACGATGAAGAAATGTCATCAGGTGGAAGATTAAGTATGAGATAAAAATAAAACATAGAAGGCATCTGAGCTAGATATCCCTTAATCAAACTTTAGCACATCTACTTAATTAAATTTTAGAGGGCAAGAATAGTACTAAGTCATAACCTGGAAATAAAGCTGAGTCTATGTGCCCAGATGTATTCCATGAGCCTTAAACATAGCCCTACACTTCAGTCTAGATTTCCCACTCTTAGACATTTATCTTGATGAAATCATTGAAAAGAGGAAAATAACTTTGAAGCTGACCAAAACTATGATCATTTTGATTCATCCTAGTTCATCTAGATGACATGACCCCTTGGCTAGGCCATTAATAAAGCATGACATTCTGCCAATGTCCACAGAATTAAATTTAGAAGCAAATCTTTAAGATGGATTATTTTTAGTGCTTAATGTTGTCTACCTTTAATATTGCCTGAAAGTAAGCTTGTTGGGTTAGAATTAGAGTCCTGGTGTTAATTGTGGGGGCAAAAATTAGTATTCATTGAACAAAGAAGGTATTAAAAAATGTAAAACAAGGTGAGCATTTTGTATGTTTTCTAAGAGGCAAGGGGGTTGTATTTCAATTTAATTCATCAGAGTTAAATAATGATCCAAGTCCTTCAGAGCTTCCATATGTGATTGCTGTTGTGAAGTGCCATTGAGTCGATTGCAACTCATAGAACACTGTATTGGGTTTCTGAGGAGGGGCTGGTGGGTTTGAACTGCTACCCTTGTGACTCAAACTGATTTTGTAGTCCAGCACATTAACTTGCAGTGCCACACCAGGACTCCATAGGTGATGTTGTTGTTAAGTGCTGTCAAGTTGGTTCCAACCCATAGAGACCCTGTATAGGGTTTCTGAGATTCTGCTAGTGAGCTTGAACCACCTACCTTGCAGTTCAAACGGCTTTGCAGTCTGGCACATTAACCCACAGTGTCACACCAGGACTCCCCGTAGGTGACAGACTGTGATAAAAATGTGGGCATTCTCTGGGATGGTGGTGAGGAGTGCACTTTGTCCTGGGGCGGGAAATAAGGAGGATGATGAACCCTAGATGTCTTTTCACATTTGTCCTGTCCATAATGAACTGGAGCCAGTAAGCCCCAACCTGGTCTACTTGGCCATTGTCAACTGTTTGCTGGAGAGGTTTCCCCACATTCTTGACTTTAACTTGGTCTGGCAGTACTGGCCATTAATTGCTTTCATGACTGTGATGATAATTATAATGATTAAAATGTAGTTTTCCTTGCCTGACCAGAGGAAGAAGATGAAGGAGAAGAAGAAGGAGATGGGGAAGGAGAAGAAGGAGAAGAAGAAACAGTAGAAGTGGAAGAGGTAGAAAATGTTCTGACAGAATTATCAGGAGAAGATGAAAGTCCTGAGAAAAACTCTCAGCCATCTCTGCTGGCCTCCGAGCTCCAGGTGGCTTCAGGAGAACTTCTGGTTTCCTCTGCAGAGTCATCTCCAGACCTGCCATCTGCTGCTGAGGCCCCGGTGACACAGGTAACTCTTCGTGAGTTCCTTCCAACAGGACATAAAAGTGGCCTGTGTGGTGAACAGCCTAAATAATCTAATGTAAGAAAAAGATAACTGTATGCCAGATATTTCTATCTGGAAGACAAAAGATTTCAAGGCAGTCACAAGGTGAGAAAGAAAAGTCTGCTGAGTGGTTCAACAGGCCGATGTTGTTATAGCTGATTGGCAAAACTTGGTTTAACAAGATTTTCCCACTAGAAATGCCCTCAAATGTGAGATCATCTTTGTCTAGAAATTGTGTGTGTGTGTGTAATAATATTAATTGTTAAACAATTATCCAAAGGATTGGGTCTGCTCTTTATTGCTGAGTGAATACAGATATAGGAAGAAAAACAATATAGAAGGAACACTAAAAATGATTATACTTTCAGAATTTTGATTTTTCTGTAAGTAATTAAAGGAGTAAATATGAAGCCACATTAGTTTATGTCCCTGTTTCTTACCCTGAAACACAACTTTATCTTCCCTTTCAGGGGCAAACAAATTCTGGTTTCCTATGGATTTGCCATTTGATGAGATGACATGTTGATAGATGTTTAAAAGATTTCTGTGGAAATTTGCTCTCCTAAATGCTACATCTGATTGCCTGCCCATGTGTTTCTGAGATATCACTGTCCTGTTCTCCAAACTTTGTCCTGACTTTCAGTGGACAGGACCCCAACCGGCCCACTCATTCAAGCGAGAGCCTGGTTTTGCTCCTGCTTTCAGAGTTTATCACAGTTATCTATAGAAACAAAACCTCAGAGGGGAGAGTCTCAAAGCTGGAATTATATTCTGTGCTCTGTCTCCATAGGAAACTAGGCTATGATACTATTTATAGTTCTGAAAATCTTTACATTCTGGGTATACCGATTGCACTGAAATTGAAAGTGGTGTAATAACTAAATGAGGGTTGGACTTGATCACTAAAATAATTTTTTAGTTTTAGAAAAAAGATGTGCTGACCCACATATAATGGAACAAAATGAATTCTGGTCAATAGTTTGATCTTTACTCCATATCTTATATTTAGTTGGCAAACCTTCTGTTTTGGTTCTCCCTGGGTATCATTTAGTGAAACACAAACATAGAAAAGGAGGTGGGGGGCACACTCAGATTCTAAGAAAAAGGGGCACTGTCATTAGCATCCCTTTCCTTAGCATTCTGAAGAGTGGGATGTGCTGAAGCAAGCAGTCAGGCACTGTATGCTGACAGCACAACAGTCTTCAAACCCAAAGGGAACTAAAATCGACTGCTCTTTTCTTCTTCTTCTTTTTTTTTTTTTTTACTTTTGAATTTATGTGTCCTGATTAAGGGGGAGGTTGTACCCAGTGGCTCTCAGCAGACCACAGAGTCTGAAACTCCAGTCCCTGCAGCAACGGAAACTACGGATCCCTTGTTTTACCCTAGTTGGTACAAAGCCCAAGCCTGGAAAGCCACCAACCCACCTTCTACTGCAGGGAGTGAAGGTCTGGGACAAGTAGGGCCTCCAGGTTCTGAGGATTCCAATGAGCAGAAGGCAGCCGTGGTAGAAGCCGCAGCCAATGAGAGGGCAGCAGAGAGTGGTAAGGAAACTAGTTCACCTGCAGCTACTTCTCAGGTTAGTGTTAATGCTCTTGTGTCCAATGCTTTCCTGTGCTGCCGAGGGTCTGGGACTAGGCCACAGCCAAAGCCAGGCTTTTGAAGGGGCAGAGAGAAGTCATTGCCTGGGTAAAACCAAACAACTCAGCCCAATGTTGACAAGTTTTTTAAGCATTATATAAAAGAAAAGAAAAAAATTGAAGACACTGACCATATGATCTTACATCTGGCTTCCCAGGGGAGGGGCAGAAAGATGCTTTGACTGCAGTGACTGGCAGGTGCCCCTGAGTTCACCTCTGGAATGGCTATGTGCCCTTGCTCAGCCTCTTTTGTGTCCTCCTTGGACTCCCAAGCACTAACCACCTGCTTTTATGTATTCCTCAGCAATCCCCAAGGAGCACATATGAACTGAGTTTTAAATCTGCTCTGCCAAATAACCGCTGATTCATGCATTCTGGGAGGGTGTTGACCATAACTAGACAAAGTTAGTCTTGGCTTAAAGAAACTGGTGCTTCCTAAGCATGTGCACCTGGAAGCAGAAAAGCATAGATTAGATTTTTTTGTCGATGTTAAAGGGATATTGGAGAGCTTGTTTTTCTTACCTTTTCATAATAAATGTTTGAAATCCATGTCTTTTCCCTAACCTGGGTGAAATGTTTGCATAGCTCCAAGATATCACAGAAGAAATCATTTATGATTTCTTCAGAAGCAAGAATGTTCATGGTTACTCCATACCAGTGAATATTCTCAAATGATGTGTGTGTTGTGAGTGATGCCCAGACAAAGAGGCTGCCAAAGAGATTCTCTCTAGTTCTACACTCCTGGGTCATCAGGTGATGATAAACAACATGCATTCAAAAATCAGAGAATTGCTTAATATCTTGATAGTATCTTCTTTTACCAATGTCAATTTGATGAGATAATAAGAGGAAATGATTGGAAAATAAGAAACACCGTGCTTTGGTGTCAAATATTCTCACAGATGAAAAAAAATAATCTCTGGTGTGAAGAAAACTTAAAAAAAAAAAAAAGTATTGTCCTAAAATATATCTAACAAAAACTTTCCTCTTATCCATCTTTAAATGTATAATTCAATGACTACAGTGGTATGCAACCACCACAATTTTCCCTCCCCATAGTAAGGAAACCTTTTTTGGTGATTTTCATATAATTGATATTTTTTTAGAGAGTTCATTGGAAATCATATGTATTTAGTGGAAATGGAGTGAGGAGGAGTAGTTTTTGGTTAACAGTAGTGCAATATCCCATGAAGAGCATGTAGTAGGTGCTCCAAACCAAAATGAAGTTCATCTAAATGCTGTTGAAAGTATATTTTTTGTGATAATATTAGTGAAGTTTTCTTCTTGTTTCCTCACAGGAGTTAGCAATCTGCCTAGCGCTTTTGGCTTTTCTTATACTTCACTACATCTGGCGTCAGATTCAGTGCTTGGTTTTTACTTTTATGGGTAGGAAATATTTTCTTTTCCTTGACTAACATCTCATGTAGCTTCTTCCATATTGTTCCTCTTCTGAAAGCCCAGAGAAGAATTTTTTCCTAAACCTTGAGTCAACCCTGACTCAGAATAGAGACTCAGTGGGCAATTATTCAGTAATCCAGTCAGAATGAGATCTCCAGTTTCAAGTGGTGTCAATGCGATGAGGATTGCTCTTAAAGTAGAAAGAGGTGGAGCAATTATATTCCCTTTTTCCATAGATTGTTGCTGTTGGGTGCCATAAAGTAGGTCCCGACTCATAAACTCACAGCTATCCCATGTGACTGAGCAGAACTTCCCCATACTGTTTTCTTGGCTGTAATCTTTACAGAACTAAACTCCAGGTCTTTCTCCCAAGGATCCAGGGGTGAGTTCTAAGTGCTAACATTTTGGATAGCGGCTGAGTGCGTAACCATTACACTACCTAAATAAGAGTCTCGTTTCCTCTGCTAACACCAGAGACACCCAGGAGGAGATCGGATGACTCCCGTTGTAGAAGATTCCTGTACCAGTAGGAAGTGGACAGGGTGACTTCTTGGTTCTCTTTCAGTGCTTGGAATCTACAATGTTTCTCTTTGGAGGGGAGGACTCTGAAAGAAAGGCACCCTAAGTGTATCAGCACCAGGGACTTCAGCCGGGTGTGACCTGAATAAATAAAGAGCCAGAAGATAAACATTCATCTATGATCATACACAAACAAACAAAAAAGTCACAAAACTATCAAACCGCCCCTGCATACTATTGCTGAGTTCTCTTTCTCATGGTTAAGCCTAGGGAAAAAAACAACACAAAACAAAAAACTATTATGAGAGCTGACATCTTATTCCCTTAATATCTTTTGGAATGTTATCAGTTTAATTAATACTATTGAATGATTCAGACGGTTCAACTCCTGTGCTTGTGAGTACATGCCGCTGCTGGCTCCCTGTGCCTATTGCACAGAGCAGTCCAGGGTCACTGGTGCTGAGAGTCCTTGGCTATTTCTGGCTCATTGACTTTTTGCTATGGTGATATCACCTTTTTGTGAAGTTCCCCATCCTAGAGCTCCTTCCTTTTTCATTAATTCTTTGCTCTGCACTGGCAGGGGATTCCCCAAAGGAATTGTGTGTGAGCAGGACCTGCCCCGATGTCTAAGAGGCAGCCAGAAAGCTGTGTGTCCTAAAATCCACTGATTGTCCCTCTTTCAGTCCCCTCCAATCAATATTTGTTGTGAGGAACAGTGGTAGGACATTTTAGCTACGGACTCAGTGGGATGAACAAGACAAGAGAAAAAGTTATGCTTTATTGAAATGCGGATTGAATTATGGATCTGAATAATTGTCTGAAGAGTTCGGTTTCATTCTGAGAATTCGAGTTTGGGGCTATGTCACCACATAACCCTGTCATTCTTCTCTGGGGTGTGGGGAGCGTCATGCTTTGTGGCTGCCGTCCACAACTCATTTCATGTTTGCTGACATTCACATGGCTGTGTGGGGAGATGAGGGTGAGGCAGCATGGGAATGGGCAGAGCAGGGTGAATTGACACTCAGTATTGCCCAGAACCTTGCTTGTGTTCTTCTCAGTGTTTGCGAATGCACACAAAGAAGGAAAACTATCCCTGGTGGTGTCACTCTTTTACCTCAGAACTGGAGTATGGCCAGATTGACAGAGACCTCACCAGGATGGCAATTTCCTCGCCTCTCTGTGGATTTCTGCAGGCTTGATTCACCTTCACCACCTGAGAACCCAGATGGCCTGGATTCATATTTATCCAGTGTAGTGTGCACTTGTTGGATTTCAAAGTCCATCAGTAGTCTCTCCCAGAATATTTAGGATGTGGTATAAAAGTTCTTGATTCACTACTGAACTCACTCTCCTTATTGTCTGGTTCCATGTCAGGGAGTGATATTGCCTTTGGAAGCACAGACATATCTTGGCCTCTGCCAACTTGCTAATCTGCCAACTCACTCTAGCCCCCATTAATTGAGCACAAGCCTTTGAAGAAATCAAATGCTCTAGTTCCCAGTGATTTCCTCATATCCATTCACACAGTGGTTCCTCCCTTTGCCTTTGTTGCCAGTGATTTCTGATGCAGGGTAGACTCTACCTTCTTTCATCTCCCAATTACATACACAGATTATGTGTTAGGAACTGGTCCAGGCAAGAACCAGACATCAAACTTCTCCACCAGTGATCAACAGGGGTCTACTTTTTGTTAGCATTATTGAACCTCTTCCTTATTCTCTAAGAAAAAATACTTTTCCAACAAGGTATGGATAATTTGAATCTAATTTAAAAAGTCCTGGTTTCCACTCACTCTTCTAAAGGATGTGCTCTGATCCTCATTCCTCTGTGTTTCTACTAGAAAACCCTGTGAAAGAGGCCACAGTTCAGTTGTTCAGAGTCCTTCTATGTGAACTGGTATTTAACTGGTGAATTCCCCCCATTCTAGTGTGGTGCTGTAGGATCAGTACTGGACTGGGAACCACAAGGTCAGTGGTTCAAACTCACCAACTTCTTGCTCCTTGGAAACCCTATACAGGGTCACTATGAGTCAGAACAAACTCCCTGGCATTTAACAACAAATGCCTGCTGTATGCTCAGCCAATTTAAAGAAAGTTTGGTGGACATAACATTTGATCTGCTTAGTTTATTAATTTTTCAATTTATTTTGGAAAATTAGCACCATGTTCTAACTAACCTCAGAATGCAGGGCAATGATAAGTGGGGAAAAGGGTACAATGAGACAGCTATCTATCCTGAAAAGCAGACTCTGGAAGGCTCCCCTCTCCGACAGGCTCAGCTGTGGCCAATTTTCCAGTCCAATCTGTCTACTCTGCTGGCCTCCCTACTGTATACTCCTTACTTCTGGTTGTTACCTCAACTACTTCCCTCTTTCCCCATGGACAACTGGGCACTTTATTGGAAGAGGTATGACAAAGTCAATTCAAACTACAAGACTGGCAGTTCAAATTCACCAGCTGCTCCTGGGAAACCCTATACAGGGTCGCTATGATTCAGAATGAACTCGGTGGCACATAACGTCAACAAATGGAATGGCAATAAAACTTTTTCAGAGGTGGGAACAGCAACAATAAAATCCCCCTCCCTATTTCCGCTTACTTTCTTTCAAATTTGGCTTAGTGACCAACCAGGCACTGGAGAATTTAATGGTACTGTTCAGGGAACAGAGATTTCTAGAGAAATGTCTCCCTGCTCTTCAGGATTAACTCAGAGCCAGCTGCTCTAGCTGATACTTGAGCTGGACCATGACAGCTGCAGCACACTTCTCAAGAGTCATTTTCATTGAAAATGGGACTTTGGTATTTTAATCTCTGCAATTGCTGCCTCTATGAAGATGCCTAGAAGCTAAACTCATGCATTTCATTGGAGCATAAAGTTGTCCTTGTGGGAGACCCTAAAGCTTTACCATATTAAAGGGATTCATTGTTTCAAGAATAGTCTAAGCATGTTACACATTCCATGTTGCTAGTCTGAAAAGAGACAACTTAGGTACAAATTTCTGCCAAGATCAGGGAAATTAGGAGAAAGTGCTTGGGGCCCAGTCCTGGTCTGTATGTCACTTCTTTTTCTCACCAGAAAAGTAGAGGGACAATGTAATGAATCTCTAGTAACGTAGTGGTTACAAATCGGGCTGCAAACCTTAAGGTCAGCAGTTCGAAACTACCAGCTGTTCCGCAGGAGAAAGATGAGGCTTTCTGCTCCCGTAAAGATGTACAGCCTCAGAAACCCTGTACAGGGTTCTATGGGTCAGAACCGACTCAACGGCATATAACAATAACAGCAACAGTGGCATGGTTAATGAGCCAGACTGCAAAGCAATTTGAATTGCCAGGTCGGCAGTTCAAGCTCACCAGCTGCTCCTCGGAAACCCTATACAGGGTCACTATGGCTCGGAACCGACTTAATGGCACTTAACATCAACAACAGAAGTGGCATGGTAGGGTAAGCACTGGATTACTAGCCCTAGGTCTGACGTTCAAACCCAGCAGAAAGATGAGGCTTTCTGCTCCCATAAAGATTTACAGTTCTGGAAGCCCTATACAGGGTCACTGAGTCGGAATCAACTAGATGGCAGTGAGTATACAGTAGATAGATTTCAACAACATTTGGACAGTGCAAACTTCGTGCTAATAACTTAATAACTTGTTTCAGCTGTTTTGATTGGCAGGGAGTGTGGGTAAGAATCGGGGAGAGAGTGGTGAGGGATTTAGGACTGACACAAATAATTTGAGTGATAATAACAGAAATACGTCCTCAGTGAAATAGGCAACCCAGTGCCTTTCTCAAAATACACTTCTTGTCTCGAAGCTCTTAAAAAGTCCTCATTTCCCAAACTGTTTCCAAATCTCTTCCTGGGCACCATTTAGCTAAATGTTTACACAGCTGTTCTTACTCTCAAATTGATTCTGACTCATGGTTACCCAGTGAGTCAGACTAGAACTTTGCTCTATATGATTGCAAATGGCTGATTTTTCATAATTAGATTGGAAAACCTTTCTTCGGAGGCATTCTGGAGGGACTGGAACCACTGACCTTTAAGCTAGCAGTCAAGCACATTAACCATTTATTCCACCCATAAACTTCATAAAATCAACTTCACTCAAAAGTCTTTACAGACCCCCTCAACCAGTAGAGCAAAGACTTATGATGTACATATTAGAGGTCGTCGCAAAATGTTAAATAAATGAAGAAATGAAAGATGAGTGATTTTTCAAAATCTGCTTTACTGGAGTGGAAATATGTACATTAAATTGTTTCCATTTTAAGTTTAATGAATTCTGACCAATAGTAGAGTTGAACAGCCATCACGACAATTAAATTTAGAAAACTTCTATCACCCCAAAAAAGCTCCCTCATGCACTGTTATTTTTTGTAAAGTTTTTGTTGTGAACTGAGTGATAATTTGCATGGGAGAACATCAGTTTTACACCATCAGTTCATTGTAATGATTACAATCCCCTCCATGTATC